AACCGATGCTGGCGCTGCGCAGCTGAGCAACTGCGGCCAGCCACGCAGTCGGAGATCGTCCAGATCAACCTGAAGAAGGACGACATCCTCAACAGTCCGCTTGAAGACGTCTGGAGGCACCTCCAGGACTTTGACGACATAGCCGGGGAGCCCTCCCCAACGGCAGATGGCATGAGGATGCTACCACGTCAACCTCTTGAGAGCATGCCGAGGGTGATCGAGAATCCCGATGTGGCCGTGGAACCCCACGACGTCACGGAGGCAGATGACGACCTGGAGGTCGACGAGGACAACTCAGCACCAGAGCCACCACAGATTAAGCGAACAAGATTGAGAGGCAAGCAACCGACTGTGTCGTGGCCACCTGTACCGACTGAAGCTTTCCAACCGCGTTTTGGGAGATCATCTTCATCGAGAGTCTCAGCTGAAGGTGCTCACGCTGCCCTCTTCAAGGCGGCGAGCGACCATGCGGAAGCCAGCGAGACTGACATCATCAACTTCGTGCAGGATCCGAATAACGAAGCCGAGATGGACCTGATGAAGATCGAGATCGAGACGGACCTTGAGGAGTTCTGCTTCGATGCGAGCGCGTATCTGGAGAAGCAGCTGAACCGAGTGGCCAACAACACGGTCAAGAAGGGTGTGGAGGTTTCGTTTGGCCGCCTGAGCCCCGAGGAGAGGCCGCTGTTTCAAGAGGCAATGGCACGGGAGCTGGCGGAACATCTGGAAGTACCGACAGTCCGGGCTGCATCGGCTTACGCTGACTACAATCATGGGAAAGACATTCCAGCGGACAAGCTGATCAAGATGAGGTGGCTACTGACCTGGAAGCCTTTGACACCACCTGAACCACCGGACAAGTCGGACCCACACCCCGTGAGCACGCCGGACGGGAAGTTCAAGGCGAAGGCCCGTATCATTCTGTTGGGCTTCTCACATCCAGACCTTGTCAGTCGCGACAAGTTCGGAGATCGGGTGCTTCCCACGGCGTCACCAACCATCTCAAGAAAAGGGAAGCTGGCACTCCTCCAGATGGCCGCTTTCCACGGCTGGACCTTTGAGCTAGCCGACGCGAAGTCCGCCTTCCTGCAGGCCGGGCACACCGAGGAGTGGAGGAAGCTCTACACGAAGGGCGTGAAGGAGCTCCGGCAGGCCTTGCAGATCAACGAGGAGGAGTCCATGCGAGTCCTGGCAGCGATCTACGGGATCACGAATGCGCCGTGGGTTTTCTGGAAGTATGTAGACCACAAGTTCCACGAAGCAGGAGGCAAGAGCGTCCTCATCGAGCCATGCATCTGGATCATTCAGGACCAGGACGGCACCGTGTGCGGGGTCATCGGCTCGCACGTGGACGACTTTGGCATCGCAGGCGACAGCGACAACAAGTTCTACCTCGACATGAAGAGCATGCTGAAGGAGATGCTGCGGTGGTCTCCATGGCGAAGCACGCCGTGCATGTGGGCAGGCATGTGGATCACCCAGGGGCCGTCGGGCAAGATCCATGCCAGCCAGGAGGAGTTCTGTCACCAGCTCCTCGAGATCAGGGTTGAGTCCGGCAAGTATCTCTCAAAGGATGACAAGCTCAAGCCGGAGGACGTCACCCAGTTCAGGGCAGGGCTGATGAAATGCCAATGGAGAGCGACACAGACAGCACCACAGTTCTCATGTCGGGTGTCACTGTTGGCTCAACGAGTGAACGAGGCGACGTTCGGGGACCTGAAGGACACGAACGCCCTCATACGCGATGTGAAGCGGACCGCTCGGGACTCACTGGTGTTCCACAACTTCAATAGCAACAGTGGCGGCAAGCTGAAGTGGGACGACCTAGTGATCGTGACGTGGGTCGACGCAAGCAGACTACTACAACGAGGAGGCTGCATCGTGGCGTTCACCACGGCCGAGATTCTCAAGCAGAAGGAATGTGCAGTATCGATCGCCGACTGGAGATCGTACAAGCTCAAGCGCACCGGCATCGGCACCAACGGCTGCGAGGGCCAGGCCCTGTACGACGGCGAGAACGCCGCGTACCTGATGCGCCTGCTGTGGTCAGTCATGCATGGAGTTCCAGTCACCGCGCACACTCAGGAGGAGGTGGCACAATCCATGACCTCGGTGCTGGTGATCGACAGCCGAGGAGTTTACGATTCAGTTCACAACAAGGAGAGCTTCGGCATAGGCCTGAGCGACGCGAGGACCGGCGTGGAGGTTTTGCACGTGAAGGCGAACTGCGGGCCCGAGAAGAACCAGCATCTGGTTTGGGTACCCTCGGACCTCAACCTCACCGACGGCCTCACGAAGGACAGTCCCGAGGCAAGGAAGCCTCTGGCTCTGTGGCTTGCACGGCGTACCTGGATCATCAGGTACGATGAGGATTTCATGTCAGCCAGGAAACGACAGCGAGCCAACAAACTCGCTCAGGACAAGCCGCAGGCACCTACGGACGCTGAAGCCGAGGCCGCCGACGCTTTAGCTTTTCTCGACCTATCTTGAGGACAGGGTCGGGCTCTTTTCATCATTCCTTTTCATATTTGTACTGTGCAGGGCCCCTCTTTTGATCCAGTTCGGTCGGAACGGTTGAGGAGGATTTTAGGCTCATGTCGAGCCGAGGCGACTCGAGCGAAGTTTTGAGTCAACCTCTCCTTCCTCACTCTCTCTCTCTTGCCGCCGCTTCCGCGGCTGTATGGGATCGAGGAGGGGGCCCCCTCTTTTGTGCAGAGAGCGCGGCAGACACGCTCGCCGGCACGGGCCGGCGCCAGATGCTCGACGGACGACCGCAGCACATCACATCGTGCAGAATATATCGTCGACGGTAATCACGACAATGATGATGATGATGATGATGATGATGATGATGATGATGATGATGATGATGACGATTACGATGATGATAATGATGCTGATGCTGATAATGATGATGATGATGATGATGATTACGATGATGATCATGATGCTGATGATGATGATGATTACGATGATGATGATGATGATGATGATGATGCTGCTGATGCTGATTCTGATCATGATGACGATGATGATGACGGTGACGATAACGATTATGATGATGCTGATGATGATGAAGGTGACGATTATGATGCTGATGATGCTGATGACGATGATGATGATAATGATGATCATGATGATAATGATGCTGATAATGATGATTACGATGCTGCTGCTGCTGCTGATGATACGTATGATGATGATTATGACGATGATAATGGCGAAAATTTTTATGATGCTGCTGCTGATGATGATGATGCTGATGATAATGACGATTACGATGATGATGATGATGATGATGATGCTGGTGATGACGATGATGATGTTGACGATCATGACGACGACGATGACGATGCTGATGATGCTTATGCTGATGCTGCTGCGAATGAAGATGCTAATGCTGATGCTGCTGCTGACCTGATGATCACGATGATCATGAGGATGATGATGGTGGTTATGGTGATGATGATGATGACGATGATGATGACGGTGATGAGGATGATCATGATGGTGATGATTATCCTGATGCTGCTGATGATGTTGATGCTGGTGATGATGATGATTGATGATGATGATGATGATGATGATTGTGATGATTAGCATGATGCTACTGCAGCTGATGGCGATGATGACAAAGATGATGGTGATGGTGATGACGATGATGGTGATGGTGCTGCTGGTGATGATGCTCATGATGGTTTTGATGATGCTGCTGATGATGATGAGGATGCTGATGATGATGCTGATGATGACGATGTTGCTGCTGATGACGGTGATGATGATGATGGCTGTCATGATAATGAAGATAGTAATGATGATGCTGATGCAGATGCTGATGCTAATGATGATGCTGATGATGATGGAGATGATGGCGATGTTACTGATGGTGATGATGATGACGATGATGCTTATGATGATAATAATGATAACGATGCTGCTGCTGCTGATGATAATGGCTATGATGATGATAATGAGCACGACGATGTTTTTTCATGATGTTGCTGATGATGATGATGCTAATGATAATGACGATTACGATGATGATGCTGGTGTTGCTGATGATCATGCTGATGATCATGACGATTACGATGATGATGATGATGAACATGATGATGATGATGATGATGATGATGTTGGTGATGCTGATGCTGATGCTGCGGTGATGATGATGATGATGATGCTGATAATACTGATGATGATGTGAATGATGATTACGATGACGACGACCGATGTCGATGATGGTTATGCTGATTCTGCTGCGAATGAAGATGATGCTGATGCCGATGCCGATGCTGTTGCTGCTGACCTGATGACGGTGATTATGAGGATGATGATGATGCTTATGGTGATGATGATGGTGATGTGGAAGATCATGATGCTGATGTTGATAAACATGCTGCTTCTGGTGATGAGGATGATGCTGCTGCTGATGATGATGATGATCATGGTGATGATGCTGATGATGATGACGATGCTGACGATGATGATGCCGCTGATGATGATGATGATTATGATGATGATGCGTACGACGATGATGATGATGCTGCTGATGATGCTGCTGAGGATGATGAGGATGCTGATGATGATGATGATGGTGATGATGATGATGATCATGATGATGATGATGATTATCATGATGCTACTGCAGCTGATGACGATCATGCTGATGATGATATAAGATGACGATGCTGCTGAGGTGGAGTTGGAGGAGGAGGAGGAGGAGGAGGAGGAGGGATGATGATGATGATGATGATGATGAGGAGGAGGAGGAGGAGGAGGAGGAGGAGGAGGAGGAGGACGAGGAGGAGGAGGAGGAGGAGGAGGAGGAGGACGAGGAGGAGGAGGAGGAGGAGGAGGAGGACGAGGAGGGGGAGGAGGAAGACGGGAGCGAGGGACGGAGGATGGAGGGAAGGGAGGGGGAGGAGGAAGGGGGGAGAGGGTGGGTGGGGAGCTCCCGAGGGGCTCCGCGGCTACCCCCCCGCCGGGGCCGCGGGCTGCAGGCGGCCCGGCGCAGGGCCCCGCCACCGCGGCGCAGGCGGGCTTCCTGGGCAGCGCAGCGCCCCTCCGGGTCCAGGCGGGCGCAGCGGGGGGGGGGGACCGTGGCGAAGGAGTGGCCGGTCTTCCTCGGCTTCCCGCCCTCGCCCTTCCCCCCTCGCCCTCCCCCCTCGTCCTCCCGTCTGGCCCTTGCCCTCCCTCGAGGAGGAGGAGGAGGAGGAGGAGGAGGAGGAGGAGGAGGAGGAGGAGGAGGAGGAGGAGGAGGAGGAGGAGGAGGAGGAGGAGGAGGAGGAGGATGGGGGAGGGGGAGGAGGAGGAGGAGGAGGAGGAGGAGGAGGAGGAGGAGGAGGAGGAGGAGGAGCTCGCCCTTCTCCCTCTTCCTCGTATTTGAGCCTCCCCCTCCCTTCTCGCCGCCCCCCGGCTCCGCAGGCGGGGGGGGGGGGGGCGTGGCGGGGGCATGCCTGGTCCGTCTTGTATGTCAGGAGGAAAAGAAACACACAGACACAATTAATCCTCGATTCCCCAGAAAATATGGGAAAATATGGGAAGTGGGGGGGAAGACAGAAACCCAGAAAATATTAGAAAATATGGGGAATCTTTTTATTTGTGTGTATTTATTTGTGTGTCCTGGGGCCCCTTCAGTATGGCAGTGTTCAGTTTTTGCACTGAGGCACGGCGCTGATACAAAAGAAGTCGTCGAAGTCCTCGGAGACGTCGTCGGTGTCGTCCTAGTCGTTGTCGTCGGTTTCGTCGCAGTCGGTCTTGACAGGATTTTGCAGACCAAGTTGCGGGTGGGTGGGTGGGATGTTTGCACGAGCAGTGGAGATGACGACTTCAAGTTCAGCAGAGTGGATACAAAAGAAGAGGTTCCTCCTCTCGAGGACTGCCGGCTCCTCCCTCCGAGGACTGCCACTTCCTCCCCTGATGGCATGTGGAGGGATGCCTGTTTCTCCCCTCGAGGCGTCCCAGACGGGGTCCGAGTAGATTGGGCCGAAGGACTTCACCGCATCGCCGATGCATGGTCGATGCGGCTCCATGTGCAGCCCGATTCTCTCCACGCCGACGTCGGCGATGCATCGCCGACGTAGCCCAGCAGCGCCAATACGGAGGGGGGCCGTGGCGAAAGGATGCTTGATTCTAAGCCGGAGTGGCGCGGGAGGCGCAGATGGGCAGTCTGGGAGAGGTGCAGTAACCGAATGCCCCCGATAATAAATCATCCCCCCCACACCTTTCCCCGCTGAGTATTTATTATCCCGTGTCAATAGGATTTAAGAGTGGAGAAGGGCGCGGAGGCCGAAGTTGATAATCCCTGGGGGATGTTGCGAATCGAAGCTGTTATCATCTTATGCTGACTAGCAACATCATCAAAAACGCTGAGCATGGCAATGGTGGTCTCATCATTTCAGCTTCCGCAATCACGCGCGTGTGGCAGGGCTATGGGTTTCTCAAGGGCGACACCCTCGAGGTGGGGGGGCAGTCAAGGGCGACACCCTAGAGGTGGGCACAGTGCGCGCGCTGCTGAGCGATATCGAGGAATGCGTGGGCGTCCCCGAGACCGTTTTGGTGGTCGAGCCCACGGTGGCCGTCGCCTGGGCTCGAGAGGGCCAGGGCGAGGACGAACCCGCCGCCCAGCTGCCCGAGGAGCAGAAGCTCTGGGCCGAGAGAGTCCACAAGGCCGAGCACGTCCTGATCTGCGTGCTCTCCGAGGCGCCCGCGCACTACATCTGCCTCAATGTCGGTGGTTGCTACAGTTGTCCGTACCCCAAAATGCCTCCAGTTTTTCGTCCGGTTTTGGAGCGAATCCTGGAAGCACCTTGGGCAGGGGGGGGCATTTGTAGCAACGCCCGCGAAGGTCTCGAGGATCGGTGGGGCCGTCGCGGTGGAGTACCGCGACGCCCTCAAGCAGCCGCCCGAGAACGCCAAGCAGGCCGAAAGGGCTACATGCGAACTCACATCGCACATGCACCCCACGATTTCTGAGGGGGGAGGTCGGGTTCGTTCTGTTCGGGGGCTGCCGAACGAAGTGAACCCCGCACCCCTCCTCAGAAATCGCGTGCGGGGGGGGGGTCGCATGTGGTCCCTGAGGCCGCCCCGAGGATCCTCCGCAAGCTCGGCGCCATTGGCCCTGGCGACACCAGCCTTGCGAGGAGCAGCGAGATGTTCCAGGGCGACGCCTGGTCGTGCGGCCTGTGGGCGAGTCGCTGGGTCGAGCGCGCCCTGCGCGAGATTCGAGGCGAGGGCCGCCAAGCGCCCGCGAGCATCAACGCGATGCGCGCGCGCCCGAGGCAACGAGTGGATCAACGAGCTCAAGGAGGCCAGCGACAACGACTTGGCCAAGGCCAAGGCCAAGGCCGAGAGCAAGGCCAATTCCAAGCCCTTCGAGGACCCCACGGCGGTCGAGCCGAAGTGCGCCACCCTCGAGGAGGCAAGCGCGGCCGCCCAGGCCTGCGCCAAGTGCCTCCCGCGCAAGGGCGTATCCGAAGGGTGCCGAGCCTGCGCGGGCGAGTGGTTCGAGGTCGCGCGCAGGACAGGCGCCTTGGCCAGGGGCGCCAAGGACCTCTCTTGCGCGGGCAAGGTGTAGCCGCGAGACCCGAGATCTCCGGAGCCAGTGTTGTGCCAAGATCCATGCGGTCCGCTTGCGCGAGCGCCCAGGGCCATCATCGTCATCATCATCATCGTCATCATCATCATCATCATCAGCATCATCATCATCATCATCATCGTCATCACCCGGCGGGAACATCGTTGATTATCCCCGCCAGACCCCCGAACTTTATTATCCCCCGGTGTCATTATCAGGGGCAGTCGGTTATTGTTCACTGAGGTTGATGCGTGGATGCAGTGGTTTCGCGGTTTGGACACGATCGTTGCGTCGTTTCCGCCCCGCGCAACCGCCCGCGCCTCCCAGCAATAGTTGAGATGCACTGGTCCGCTCCCGCGAAAGATCGCACTATCGCACCTACCCCCGCCCCCCCATTTGGGTTGCTTCCGTCGCTCCAGCATGAACTGCGCCTCCTCGGCCTCCAGTTCGTCCTCCGCGTGGAGAGGATCGGTGGGGCAGCCGTTGCCGTCGCTATCTGCCTTTGGGCGCAGGCTCGAGGGCAGAGGATCGGTCACGGCACGCCGGGCCAGCTCGGCACAGCGAGCCGGCAGGGGTGAATTCCGCACGGCCCCATCGAAACAGTGTCCAGGCGTGGGCGGCGTGGGCGGTTCCGTGGCGCAGGAGTGGTTTTGCGACTCATTGCAAGCCCTCCCCCTGCGGGTCCAGTCGACACTGGGGTCCACTTCGCTGCAGACACCCGTTGAATTCTGGACCCCAATTGGTTTTTCAGGAGTCTGACCCGCAGGGACGGGCAAGGTTCACACGTGGTTGCCTGTGGTCCTCATGTTCGTCCTCCTCCGATCTGGCCCTCCTCCCTCGTAGCCGTGGAGCCCCCTGCCTCGACGTGCCTTCATGGGGGGCTTGATCCACGGGGGTCGCTTCGGCCCTGATTGTCTCGGATCCGCGGAGGAGGAGGAGGAGGAGGGAGGAGGAGGAGGAAAAGGAGGAGGACGAGGAGGAGGAGGTTGGAGGAGGAGGAGGAGGAGGAGGAGGAGGAGGAGGAGGAGGAGGAGGAGGAGGAGGAGGAGGAGGAGGGCTCAGGCGGGATCGGCGGGGGGGCCAGGGGCGAATCGTCGGTTCTCGGTGACAGCGGTCCAGGGGTGTCCAGGTCGTCTCGCACAGCCGCCGGAAATCCGAATTATGACCCGGAAATTGGGCGACGAGGCGAAGTCCATAGCAAATGAATGCCTGTTCCCACTCGGCTTCCTGCGAAGCCTCCTCCCATCTGGCCATCGCCCGCCCTCCTCGCCCTCCTCCCTCCTCCTTGCCCTCCTCGCCGTCCTCTCTCGCCCTCCTCGCCCTCTTCGCCCTTCCACTTCGCTTCCTCCTCGCCCTCCTCCCTCCTCGCCCCCCTCCGCGCCCTTCTGCCCGCCTTCCTCCCTCCTCGCATCTGATCCTCCTAGAGGCCGTTACCGGGGGGACGGGGTTGGTAACGTTACGATTGTCGCTGGTGACATCTCAAACTTTGTTGTCCGTGGCTATTTCAAAACGGCGCAGGCGCGAATTGCTACACGTTGCCGGGCAAATACGCGTCTCCTTTTCGAAGAAACTGCGTAAACAAGCTTGCCAGAGAGGGCCCCAAACAGTAAGCTATTGCACGTTGAAGGTATAAGCTATGGGTTGTGACCCAAGACGTGCGGCGGCAGCGCGCGAGGCGACAACGAGGAGACATCGGGCGGCAAACGCGGCAAATCCTCAACATGCGCCCCCGCCACCCATTTCGGCACACCCCTCACACGTTTCCCATAGGAGCTCCACCGAAGGTCCCAGTGGCGCAGCCCGCATGCGTCCCCGCCACCCATGTCGGCACACCCCTCACACGTTTCCCATAGGAGTTCCGCCGAAGGCCCCAGTAGCGCAGTCCACATGCGTCCCCGCCACAAACTTTGGCACACCCCGCACACGCTTCGTGGCCCCATGGAAGCTCCACCGAAAATACCCGCATCGCAGCCCGCATCCGCTCGCGCAACTCATTTCGGCACACCTCTCACACGTTTCATTTCCAAATAGGAGGCCCCACCGAAGGCCCTAGGGGCGGTGCCCACATGAGTACCCGCCACCCATGTCGGCACGCCCCTCATACGTTTTGTAGCCCCATAGGGAGCTACACCGAACGCCCCAGTGGCGGTGCCCACATGCGTCCCCGCCACCCATGTCGGTACACCCCTCACACGCTTCTTGGCCCCATAGGAGCTCTACCGAAGGTCCCAGTGGCGCAGCCTGCATGCGTCTCCGCCACCCATGTCAGCACACTCCTCACACGTTTCGTGACCCCATACACGGTTAATTCAGTAATTAGGTGCGGTTTTAAAATCGTCCGATGAGGTCAAGGGGAAGCGCGTCGTCGGCAGCTTTGGAGCAAGGCGCGCAGCCCCGGCCCCAGGAGAGCAAATGGGGGACTCCCCAGGACTTTGCAAACTGTGGATGGCCACTTTAAACGGAGAAGGTTAAAGGCGAGGTATAAATCGAGCATGTACCGCTGCCGTGCCTGGCTCAAGCCGGGCCCGGCCAAATATATGACTGTGCCTCACTGAGGCGCACGACTTGCATCAGAGATCGGAAAATACCTTTTCCATTGACGATGCCCATCCTATCCTTTACTCCAGATCCCATGCTTCGTCTTGCACTCTTGCTCATGCGATATGAGCCAAAGCCTGGGATATGGCAACGCTTAAAGCGTAACACATACCTAAGCTTACCAGCTTGTTTTCGACTTGGTAGCGGAGCTGGCTACACTCTCGTGTGGCTGGCTCTCGCTCTGATTCCTGTAATCCACGGCACAACTTGGTGGACTACTACTACGGTGGAATACCATGTTGCGCCGGCTCTGCGAGGAGCGGAGCCAGTCCGCGATCGAGCTAGCGGGGCAACCCGCGAACTCGAGACGCTTTCTCCTACTTCACTGCGCTACTTCACTCCCGACTTCCACCAGATGCCAATCGGCAACTCGATCGAGAACGTGGTCACCCTGCGGGGCTACCCGCAGCGGGGCCACCTGCATCCCGTGCCAGTCAGGCGCCTCACGGCTACTACGCCAGAGCCTGACAAACCACAGCCTAAACCAATCACCGAAGCCGAAATGCACATGCATTGGATCAAGATAACTATATTCGGCATTCTGTGGGTAATAATGGGATGTGCTGTGGGATACATGCGGCAGGGGATGGACGACACGCGTACTACTGGCCCTTCATGGGACCCTGCCGGTACTACGCCTTTTCGCGAATACGTTCGCGAAGTACATGCATGGTTAAACGTAACGAGTGGCAATATGACACCACCACAACAAGCTGCAGCACTACAACGAGGCCTTCAAGGTCTGGCTCGTCGTATCGCCATGCAGGTCCCCTCCCAGATCATCAATTATGGTGTAACTGTCAATGGACAGCCAACGGATGCAGTAACATATATACTGTACTTACTGAGCACCAAATTTGAAAATCTGGAAGATGAGCGCCAGCTCAACTCTGGCACTGCCCTTATCGACTTCCGCGTCGAAAGGGGCGAGCGAATCGACTCAGTATTAGCTCGATTCGAGATGGCCCGTGACGAGGCTAACTCTGTTGGCTTTGTCATCCCCAACTTTCAGATCCTAACGCTGATTCTCTTCAGAGCGTTAGGCGTTGGCGCGTCACGAGCCCAACACCTGCTTGAGCCCTTCAATCATCAGATGCCCCGAACACAAGCAGACTATGACAGGCTGCTGACCAGGATGAGGAACTACGGACATGTTGCCGAGCGCTCTCCTGGCAACATAGCGGGTATCTTCACAGGGCACCACTCACATGCAGGTGTCTACGCCACGACTGCGGGGTCACCCGCTGGTCCTGGCGAGCCAAATCCCTGGGCTGACCCAGCCGATATGCCCAACGAGGCCACTGCCCTTTTAGGGCAGACTGGCCAGGCATCGGCAGAGGCAGCTGAGGCGAACGCCTGGTCGAACTACTCGCCAGGCGCCGCCTACACTGCAAGCCCGCCCTCGGGCACAACCCTCTGGGGCCAAGCGGAGTCATCCGCTCAAGGGTCTCAGCCACCCTCACCGTTTGAATCTGGCACTGACACGGATACCTCATCTGACGATGAGCACAATGGCATAGTCTCTGCTGGTAATGACTACCCAGCGGATGACACTCACCTCTCTGAACAACAAAGAGCGGAAGCCGCCTTTATGGCTTATCGCAAATCAAAACGCCGTTGGAGGCGCTTTATGAAGAAACCAGTCAGAAAGGTGAGACGTGCAGTACGCCGACATTTCAAACGATTTGGAAAGGGTCGTGGCAAAGGGGGTCGCAGACGCCGTATGCATGGTAGGGGTATTACTGCTTTCCTCACGTCCTTAACTGATATGGCTTTTGAAGAAGTTCTTATCGGAGGCAAAGGTCGGGGTCACAGGCGGACCTCCGGTAAGGGAAAAGGGCGGAGGGGCAACCCTAGGGACGCTTCTGGCAATACTATGAAGTGTCATACATGCGGTAGCACAGAGCATTTGCGCGATCAATGCCCGAAGGGGAAAGGAAAGGGATCCGTACATTTGGCTCAAAATTCTTTTATGGATGACATAGATTACATTGACTACGAGTTTTACGTCAATCCAGAAGCGGCTCCCGCCGCGGGCTCCTCCACGTATTACGTGATGGCCCGCTACGCTGAAGCAACTGTAGCCCTGGAAGACTACGCAGTGACCCTCTTCGACGAGTTCCACGGCTGGGACGAGGTCGACGAGGTCGCGTACAATGCTTGGTTCGGTCTTCCAGCGGGGCCACCCGCCGGCGACGAGGTCTCCGAAGCCGAGACCGTCCCGGCAACAGAGGAAGAACTCACCGCCGTGCTGGCCCCGCAAGTGATTGGCATGCCGTTGCTGCCAAATCCTTCGTGGGCTGGTTCGGAGGCGGGAGACGCCGATGACGAAATGCGGGGCCATCCCGCGTATTCCGACTCCGAAGAAGCCGAAGAAGATTATAAGGACATGCTCCAAGAGCAGGTCTCAGAAGCAATCCGACTCCTGAGTGCGCCAGCACATCAGCAGATAACCATGAACGAACTGCTGTCACACCCAGGAGCTGCACGTCTACGTCCATACTTGGATTCGGACATGTCAGCATCTCAGATGCTGACAGCACTCCAAGCTCTAGCGGGGTCACCCGCCGAAGAGACGCCAGACGCAACAGCGGGGCCACCCGCTTGGTCTATGGATGTATTCATGCAAGGTTGTGATCAAATGGACATTAACGACCTCACGATGGAGCAGTTAAACGACATCGGGTACTTCAGAAGCCCGTATCAAAACGTGTTCATGGTCCAGGACAGCTCAGAGGACTCGGAGGACATGCGCTACGCCAAGAGGGACAGACGAACGTCGCCTCGCCGAGACTCAGAGCATGACGATCAAAGGCCAATGGCACGCGGTAGTGCGTCAGCGGGGCCAGCCCGCAGAAGGAGCCGTTCAGCTCCCAGACGCCCTACACATGATGAATCGGGCTATCCATGCAGTACTGAGCACTCCGTCGGAGTATCCGCTCAGCATGTGCCGGATTGGTACATCAAATGGTACCCCGGCTACTCGATGGACACGCTTCGCCACTGGTATTCTAAGGAGTACTGCACTAAAAGGGACGAAACTGGCGCGATAATACGTACCAAGGGTGGCAAGACCAAGACGCCAGAGGCTTGGGACAAAAGGGCTAAGAAACAGGAGATCATCAACGATCGCAAGACATACAGGAAACAAGTATGTCAGTGCGAGCCCTTCAAAGGTCACATGCGCAGGTGTCCGATGGACCGCCCCTCCAGGAGCCCTCAT